CACCATGTTGGCCAGGATGGTCTCGATCTCTTGACCTCATGATCCACCTGCCTCAGCCTCCCAAAGTGCTGGGATTACAGGCGTGAGCCACCACACCCGGCCTTTATTTATTTTTTTTTTAAATTTTAAATTTTTTTTTTTGAGACGGAGTTTTCACTTTCTTGCCGTCCAGGCTGGAGTGCAGTGGCGTGATCTTGGCTCACTGCAACCTCTGCCTCCCAGGTTCCAGTGATTCTCCAGTCTCAGTCTCCGGAGTAGCTGGGATTACAGGTGTGTGCCACAATGCCTGGCTAATTTTTGTATTTTTAGTAGAGATGGGGTTTTGCCATGTTGGTCAGGCTGGTCTCGAACTTTTGACCTCAGGTGATCCACACACTTTGGCCTCCCAAAGTGCTGGGATTACAGGCATGAGCCACCATGCCTGGCTTTTTTTTTTTTAAGATGAAATTTTGCTCTTGTTGGTGCCAGGCTGAAGTGCAGTGGCCTGATCTCGGCTCACTGCAATCTTTGCCTCCCGGGTTCAAGCAATTCTCCTGCCTCAACCTCCCAAGTAGCTGTGATTACAGGTGCATGCCACCACACCCAGCTAATTTTTGTGTTTTTAGTAGATATGGGGTTTCACTGTGTTGGTCAGGCTAGTCTTGAACTCCTGACCTCAGGTGACCCACCTGCCTCAGCCTCCCAAAGTGCTGGGATTACAGGCATGAGCCACCGCACCTGGCCTCAAGGTTCTTAAATTGCATTTATTATCATGTCTTTGAGTCTTCTAAGCAGATTTATTGGATCCTTCTGCCACTGAGTGTCACCTCATCATGCAAGCAGGCACACACGGCCACCAGGCCTGGGGATGATGCCCCTCAACACAGCTCACTGCCTCCTGTCTGGTCTGGCTTCCCCAACCTCCCGAGCCCTTCGAAACCATGCAGGGCTGGCTCCTACCCACATCCTGTTCCTCCCACCTCTGTGCTGGCAAACCATTTGTGCGCATGTTCCTCCAGGCCCAGTCTCATGTCCCCTCCAGGAAGCCTACCCCAGTTGCCAGGGAAGAGTGAGTTCCCATCTCTGGAATCCCTCAGCCCTGAGCCTGCTCCTTCACATCCCCGCTGCTGGGTCTGTTTAGGGACTCCTCTGTCCCCCATCCCCTCAGCAGGCAGGGAACTTCTGAGGGACAGGTCTTGGTTTGCTTTTTCTGTTTTCTCACCAATGACACAGGGCTGAGACCCAGGACTCAGGCTTGGGCTGGGGTTTACAGTCAATGGATAAGTTGGACAGAGGCCTGGCAGGGCCAGCCCCACCTGTGGGTGGGCAAAGCAGGCCACCAGAGCCCTCTTTCCTGCCCGCAGGACAGCCACTTACTGGTGGGAGCATCCGGGTGTGGAGGCCCGCACCCTGCTCAAACTCTACGGAATCCGCTTCGACATCCTTGTCACCGGGCAGGTAGGCACAGGTAGGGGTCAGGCCGGGGATGGGAGGCGGCAAAGCAGACAGGGCTGGAGGAGGCATGAGGCCGACAGTCGTGGGCTGAGAGGTTCAGCTCAGATCTCTCTCAGGCAGGGAAGTTTGGGCTCATTCCCATGGCCGTCACACTGGGCACCGGGGCAGCTTGGCTGGGCGTGGTGAGTGCAAGCACTGTGGGCACCTGCAGGCTGTGGTGAGTGCCGCTGACCAGGGTGTGTCCAACGCATGCTGGAGGCTCCGGTGCCTGCACATTGAATCTCGGGGTGCAGGCTGGGGAGGTGGCAGGAGAGCAGGCTCGGGGGCTGGAACATGGGTTGGCCCTGCCTCTCCCAGGTCACCTTTATCTGTGACCTGCTGCTGCTGTATGTGGATAGAGAAGCCCATTTCTACTGGAGGACAAAGTATGAGGAGGTGAGCTGAGGTCACTCTGCTTGGACTCTGGGTTCTGCCACACTTAGAAGTTGGCTGGATCCCTGACCTGCTGTCCTCGTCTGCAGGCAAAGGCCCCGAAGGCAACCGCCAACTCTGTGTGGAGTGAGCTGGCCCTTGCATCCCAAGCCCAACTGGCCAAGTGCCTTAGACAGATCTCAGCACCTGCACCCACGGCCACTGCTGCTGGGAGTCAGACACAGACACCAGGATGGCCCTGTCCAAGTTCTGACACCCACTTGCCAGCCCATTCCTGAAGCCCGTAGCCATTCCCTGCTGGTTGAGAGTTGGGGGCTGGGGACGGTGGGGCCCTGCCTGGGGATCTCAAGGATGAGGCCCCAGCATGGAGGATTGGGGGTAGAATTCCACCCTTGAACCCCAGCAGACAGTCCCTCCCCTGACTCTTGCCTTAGCAGGATGCTGCCTCGTGGAACCACAGAAGTCAGCCACAGAAGTCATACTTAGGAAGCTGTCTGAGCGCAGCTGCTCGAGGGAGGCCCTGACTCTGATCCCAGGCTGGGTGGAGTGGCTGGAAGGAATGGTTCCAAACACCACCACCGAGATCTCCCTCAGGCTGGCTGGGTTTTGCAGCTGGAATTCTCCTCTTGGTCCCAGGGCAGGGCAGGGAATTCTGATTGTCCAACCCAGGGAGGCAAGGGGCTGCTTTCCATTGTGGGTACCTGGTGATGAGGGCATGCTGTGGAGGGCCAGGGGTGGGGCTGAGGCTGGGCTGACATCTGGAATCATCTGCCACCTGGAGCCTCAGTAAAATGCCTGGGGTCCCTGCTGCCTCTCAATCCCCAGACCCATGTCCCTCGGGAGCTAGGCTCTGAAGGGCTAGGGTGGGAGAGTGTGGCCCCTGAGGCCTGGGTATCCAAGGAGGGGCACATGCACCTGATTCTCCTTGGGGCCCAGAGAAAGCTGATGTCATGGCTGGAGAAAGTCGCGGAGTAAAGCCAGCAAAGCCACCCTCTTCCTGTGTAGTCCTTACAGGCAGGACTGGAAAGTTGGGGGCCATCTATGGTAGACATGGCACAGCCGTGGGGAGACCAGTGGGGCAGTGCAGGGTGGACTTGGGGACCCTACCCCCGAAGACTGAGGCCCTGCAGCTACCACGTGAGCTAAAGGTAACTGGAACAGGCCTGGACACTTGTGCACCCTTGTTGGAGCCTGAGGGCCACACTCTTTTCACCTCAAAGCCCTTGAAGAGTGGGCAAAGACAGCAAGAGAGCCTCAGCCTGGGCCTAAGCTCAGAAACAGCTGTTGCCTCAGTCTGCACACAGGCGTGCACCCCAGGGTAGTGCCGGCAGGGACGTGTGTGTCCCTGTGGGTGTGCCTGTGCCAGGCAGGCCTCAGGCGCTTGCCATCCTCTGAACCCTGCTGCCCTGTCTAGGAGGCCTCCTTGGGGCCCCAGCTCTGCTCCCTGGATCTGCCACCTAGCAGATGTGGGGAGCCTGACCCCAGGCCTGTCATGGAACCCTCCTTGCCTGGTGTGTGTGGCTCCCCTCTTAGCTGGGCACCTGGATCCAGGCCCACCTGTGTCCCTGACTCAGGGTGGTCCCAGGACTGGCACCTACTCTTTGGAGAGCCCCAGCATCTTTGGTGTGGATTGGAGACAATTGCCTGGTTCCATGGGGCAGGTGAAGACTCGGTGCCATAAAGAATGCCACAGTAGATATGCCAGCAGGCCACATGGCTGGCCAAACAATTATTATTATGGATATCTTGGGCTGTGGGCCTTCCTGTCCACCCCACCACACCTGCCCAGGTAGTTGGAGCTGATCATAAACAAGAAGGCTCTGGGCAGAGTCCACCGCACCAGCATCGGCCAAGGCCCACTCCTGAAGACCTGAAGTTCAGCTCTTGGACAAAGTCCTAAGGTCCTGAGGACACCCCAGCCTGCACAGGCCTGCAAACCCAGGCTGCCCACAACAGAAGGGGCTCCCGGCTTGTCCAGCCTCTCTGGCCTCCCAAGCAGGTGAGGGAGAGCAGGGCAAGTGTGGGCTGACCAGCTACTCCATATGGCCAGGGTCCTGCGCTGGCGCCTGGCTAGGGGGCTGCACATCCTGCACTGTCTCCTCCAGGCTGCCCCTGGGGAATACCACGTCGTGCGTGGAGTTTGGCCCTGGCAGCTCTCGCTGGTTCTCTTTGCTGTGCGAGATGCCGTAGCCGAAATACACTGCGAGTCCTAGACAGGGCAGGAGGCAGGGCATGAGCCTGAGGTACAAGTTCCAGCCCTTCCTGTCCTCTTTGCCCTCCTCCTGACCCCGGTCCCAGCCTGGCCCCCACTCACCCATCAGCAGCAAGATGGAGAAGCACACCCAGGTCAGATAGCTCAGCTTCAGCATGAGGCAGATGTTGAGGAGGATGCTCAGGGCTGGAATCAGGGGAACCATGGGGATCTGAGGAGGCA